TCAGCTGCTGATCCTTTCAGGTGTTACTGTGACTACTGGAGTTTTAATACCTGCATAGTTTCACCCTCAACAGTTCCCCTGGTAAAGACGTAAAGCAGCTCCACTAGTATTCAAAGGGAGTTAAATGGAAGTATTTCTATTTCTGCTGTATGAACTTCTACCCCAAGGTTAATTTTACTGGGGGAGTTTTTTTACCCCAGGGTGCGGGGGGGCAAAGGGGGTGATAGTTTAATTAAAGCCAGGAAGCTGAAAACTGTGTGCACTATTTATAACTATGTATAATCAAAGCGTTTAACAACATTTCTTTCAACAATATTCAGCAATCGAAAGAGATGATACTAAGCTATTTTTGATGACTTTTCATGAAGCCTGAAATTTTTTGGAAGCAAAAAGGCATGATTTCTATTAGGCAAAACCCACTTTTCTTTAAAAAAAGATAAAAAATTAATACAAAAAAAATCAATAATACTCCCTCAAATAAACTACACAGACTGTCAAAAGTCAACTAGCTTCAAAACTTTAACTTGGTTCGGAAAACTTTGAGCCTGGATCTTTCATTAGTATAAACAGGCAAATTTCCCTTGAAGTCATTTATACTAGTCCCTGTCAGCTCCAAGAATCCCAGCTTTGTGATCACAGAAATGTTTGATTTTTCAAGGGGACAGCGGAGATGGAATAGCAAGTCCAGGCCATAACCCTGTCTGTGTATTACTGTGCTGTGCTGTTTTGCCACTGAATGTCCAGCTTCAAGACTGCAGATCTGTCAGTGACCAAACGTGATGGACCACCCATCGCCCTTTTATTAAACAGCACTTGTTCCCCCTCTAATCCTATCACTAGAGTAATCAAAGCTGCCATGTCCCAGGGTTTGATGGAACAGCAGGACCTGGGAAATGAAGACTGATTTTGTTAACAAAGTCATTCCTGCCCCTTGAATGCTGTCTCATTGGTAGAAAGCAGGGAGACGAGGTCTATTTGTGCAGAGAATGAGGCGGCAGAGAAATGAAAGGGGAAGAATGGTGAAGTGTGAAGTTTAATCTGGCACGGTCTAAGGTTTCTTTCTTTGAGGCCGTCTGTGATCCAATCAACACCGGTTTGATATTTAACATCTCCCCCTGCAGTTGGAAATGATACAGGCCAGAGAAGACTCGAGTCAGGACTTCGCAAGCCCCGACCAGCGTAGGGAGAGGAAAGGGGGTGCTGGCGTCTCCCCTCCGGCCTGACGGCTTCCCCACTGACAGGTCAGGATGGAGTCCGGCCCTGACACAAAATTCCCCTCACAAACCTTGGGATTAAGGGCATCTGTCGCAGGCTGAATGCAGATTCTCCCTGAAGAGCACGAGTTCGGGATGGGACGGGAGTGGGGTTTTATTTCTTACTTGGAGGAACGGATATCAACGCTGTCTCGATCTGGGGATCCTGCTGAGAGACAGGATCAAACACGAGCAAGAGCTACCATCCACCTCCCCAGGGCAGAGCGGTTTGGGTAGAGGAGTAAGACCTTTCCCTTGCTGACCGCGCAGGGTTTTAGTGGGGACGTGACGCTGCCCGAGGGTGCTCACCCCCAGGGCCGAGCGAGGGTCCCAGGTCCCAGCCCTGGGCGATCAGGACAGACCTGAGTAGCTGTAGGAGTCACTGTCACCGTCCTCCTTACTCCAACGACAGTATATGTCAGCCTGGGGAGAGCTTTTCACCACAGACCTGTGTGAGGGTCACAGAGGATGGGAAAGCTTAACCCTCTCCCAAGCTGGCCCTCACAGGACACATGGACAAGTCCTCACGGCCTGTCACGGCCCCCGCTGCAGTGCCTCTGCCGGCATCCCCACAAGAGAAGGCCCTGAACGCCATCCGCCCCTCACCAGTTCTTCTCAGTCCTGGCCCACTTGATTTTGCAGTTTCTGGCCACTCTGTAAATAAACATCTGAGCTATCAGACAGAAAAGTTGTCTGCTTCTTCTTCTTTGTATGCCTCTCAGCTCCTTCTGTCCCACCTTCAATGAAAACCCTGAAACTTCGTATACCAAGGAGCGGTGAAATTTCAATCTGCCCCAAACCTGATCTGAATTCCCCTGTTGCCAGACTCCCAGTCCAGCCTTTTGCTGCGATTCAGACACCCTGCCACCAGCTATGTAGTACCCGGGGCCCGGACTTTGTGTGACCAGCAGCTGCCGGAGTCCCAGGAGCAGCGAGGATGCTCCCTCCACGAGCCGTGCAGGAAAGCCGTGCAGGAAAGCAGCCGGTCAGCGAGAGAGGAGGGCGATCGCAGCGGTGCCGGTTTGGGAGAGCGGCACGAAACACCGAGCAGAGATTTCAGGGGGATCGGAGCATCAAACTACGAAGTTTCTGGGTTTACAACAGAAAACAATGTGCCGTGCTCTACCTGCAAGAGCTGGCTCTCCAGGAAGCAGCCAATTATATGAGCCACCTTAATCTTTTCATCCGGCTAAGACAATCAACATTTCAAAGCGACGCACAGAACGTTTCAAAGATCGTTCCTGGTCAAAAATGCAAGTGTATCCGCTTTCTTTCAGAGCAGATCAAAACCAAGTACCACGCCGAGACCACTCCTAGGTTTCCTCCTCCTCACGGTATCAGATTAACAGATTTGGTGCATGTAGTCAGATTAAATATTTGCAGTAGCACAAAGCTGCCTTTGAGGGGAAGAAGTAAAAAAAAAAGCTTTTTTCTTTTTTAATTTGCTAAGGGCAAAAATACTGGACTTTGGGGACGGGGGAAACAAAAGCATTGACATGATTCAGCAAGGCACAGTTTTAAAACTTGAATTCTGAATGCAGAAAGTACGTGCAGTATTCCCGTAACAGTAATGCTGAAAACAGGTAAAAACTGCTGATGCCCTTAGCAGATTTGGGACTGTAATTTATCACAGATGTCCTCATCAAACTGTGCAAACACACTACAAGACAAAAGCTACTCAACTTCTGATTTCCATTTTAGTGTGTTTTAATTATGTGTTGCTTAAGGAAGGCTCCAAGACCTGGAATTGGGAGGTGAAACCTAGCAATAGTAATCCACTCCACTAAATTAGCACAGTAATACACCAAGCAGTAGGACTGCCAGACGATGTGATAACATTACAAATTACTATTGTTAAACAACTAGCCAGGTGTCAGGATGCATGAAATCTAGAGGAAGCAAGAAAATAAATATCTGTTTTGTTTTGTTTTATTTTGTCTCGTGTTGTTCTGGTGGCCTTGTTCCCAGAAAAAGCGTCAATCTAGGAAAAATCCTCCTGAGCATTGATCTATTTTAGCAGCAATGTCAATTCTCTGTAATAATTCAAATGTGATGTATTTTTTTAATCAGCACAAACTTTTTGCATAAATGATTGTCCTTTACATGCCAATAGCAGCAATACCTTTGCTGTTCTTTTTTAGATCATTATCGTAGCAAAACGAAGGGGAAATTTTTGTTTCTATTTAAAATTTAGATAATGAGAGAAAAACAGAATTATGGTAAGAGCAGCAGTGAGTTTTGTACTCTGTCCCTTTTCTTTTCTCTGTCGCTCGCTCGCTCTCTCTTTAAAAAGAAAAAAAATGTAATATGATTCACATTTAAAAGGTTTCCAAGTGGTACATTTTTAACCAAGTGCTTTCACTGCCATTTTTGACCTAATACAACCAAATACTATTGGATGTCTGGAATGGTTAATTATTTTTACCTCACCTTAAAGACGGGGTTCAACAGAGAGGATAGGCACTTAAACCTTTCAAACAGAACAGGGTAAAACGAATTCCTTGTTCTGCGTGTGCAAAACAATTAATGCAAAGGTCCTAAGGGGCTTCCTTTTAATTATTTTTGCTGATAAACAAGAAAATCCCTCCAAAAGCGTACGCAACCAATCTTCTCCTCTGAAGGCTGTATGCAGAGTTAGGCTTCTAGTTGAAATATCGGATGAACCAAATGTTAGTGAAAGCCAGACGTTTTCCCCTTAAAACAGTTCCCACTGGACTTCAGGGGAGAAGGGGGTGAAGGCACTCTAAGGACATTTTAATCACACCAAATATCAGTCCTTTAACCCTTATTCCCACATCACCCAGAATTTTTTTGCTCAAACTAGGACAGTAAGATAAAGCTGGAAATAGGCTGATCCAAAACTAATGACAAAAAGCAGGTTAAAAACGAAATATCATAGCAGTAACTGACACCATCTTAAATTTCCCCTGGATTATTTGTTTTCTTCCACACACATTCATTTCCTGAATTTCTAGTAAATCTGATTTCATATAAACAGTTTCACAAAGCAAAGTGAATAGCTGTGACTGTGTTCCTGATTAATCCACTGAAATGAAATAGATCGCATGGCTTAGTATTTGGTTGTTTAAAGCTAAATCCACTGAAAGAATTTGGGAGTCCAGTTACACCAATAACTTTTGTGTCTTAATCTACATCCTTTTCTTTTTGCTGAACTTTACCTGTTCTAAAATGAAAAAAACCCATGCAGACTGCACACTTAACTTCCCCCAGTACATGAGGGCAACATGAGCCAGTTTGTTTTGACCTGGAGTGACTACTAAAAAGACAACCAACAGTTTGCATGTACTTAAATCTATTTGAACAATGTTGAAATTTTTTTTCATTGTTCATGCTTCATCCTCTTCCTGACAAGTACCACAAAGCCGCTTTACTTAAAAACAAACAAACAAACAAAAAGCACTTTTTACCCAGCTCCGGGACAGGACAGGAGGCGTGGAAGTTTCCCTCACAAGTGGCAAGCCAGTGGACACACAGATTCACACCCTGGACATTTGCCTCTCAAATAAATAATACACATGATAAACTCGCTGCGCACATCACGGGACTTTTGCAGGCAGCACGGATCGGCGCGATGGAGAACGGGCAGCCCAACGCAAAGGCTGCTGAGGCCCGCGAGTGACCCACCCTGCTGCAACGGGCTTGGGGTTCGCCCCATAAACCAACCGAAAGGCGAGGAGACCGGCCCCTACCTCTGGGATAAGCCACGAGGCTGAGGAGCCTCCTTACCTGGGAGAAGTTGAGCCCGTTCAGCGGGTGGCACTGCTCCTCCACCCTCTCCACTGCACCCGTCGTCTTCTTCATCCTCTCGGCCTCCTGGGCGAGGTAGAGATCGAGCACCGGCACCCCTCTGGAGCGGATGTCCGTCTCCGTCAAGGAGTTCACCATGAGCATCACCCAGACAGGCCTCTTGCGCTCCCAGTTGCCAGCGATGGCGTTGAAGAGGTAGTCGGCGTAGAGCCCTTTTCCCCGCTGGTCCGG